TGATGTTTTTGCTCTATATCTTGACTGACTTTACCTCAAATCTAACTTGACAGGGGACTAATCACACATCAGTCGCCTAATAAATAATAAACAACTCTGAATTGCATTGTGGGTGCACTGAACGCTCATTAGCAGCGTGCTTATGACTCTTCCGTTCACCTACTCATGAGCTCTTATGAGCTGTCATCTGGTGCACTGTCCCTCTTATCTGAGTCAAGTGAAGCAGAATTGAACAGGCCATGTGTTTGATGTGCCCTTTCTCCTCTACTTAAGCCACTCTGGCCATATGGGCGGATTTAGAGCTGGGGACACTTGAAAGGGGTCAAAAGGAGTGGCTGCCCCTCAACTCTTCTGTCACAGATAGTCATAGTGCTTTCCTGCTGAATGCACACAATAGGCTCTATTGGAAGGTCAGACACAGGTAGCTCTGTAAATAAAACAGCTGGCAAGTTGGTCAAAAATGTAGGTTACAATTGTTATGGAGTGAATTTCCCTCTGATAGAATAACAGACAGAGGGAAGCTGCACCTATGAGGTCTATTTACCAAACGATTGCCTGTAAAGTTAACCATTTAATGGACATTTACCCAGCATAACAGCTAAATAGCAGCGATGACACTATACTGTATTTTGCTATCATGCCCAACCTAGGAAAAAGGATTTGGCTGTTTTGTAATCCGATGTGACATACTAGCACTAGTCTTCCATTGGTCACTTTCAGTATTGCACACTAAACCACAAGTTTAGTCGTTAGTGAAGGAAGGTAGGAACTTATCATGGAGAAACAGCAAACACCCTTCCCTTCAGACTTCATCTCATCCAAGAAAGGCTTGTGAGATGCTGTTGTGGTTTGTTTGGGCTATGAGCCAATAATGAATATAAATTTCAAGCAACACCCCAGGGGAAGTGTCACCATTTAATATTTCATTTTACCCAACCTATTTTTGCCTTTTTCATTACCCCTTCGTTTTCGAAGTGAAGTCGTGTCAGGGCGTGTGGGCAAAGAAAATGTGTCAGTGATTTTTTTTTTTTTTTTAATATGCAAACTGTAGTGCTTCCTGTTGTAAGTCAACACCTCGGGCACCCACACGAAGCTCATGGTACAACATGTGACTGCCTGTTTTACGTGGTTTCAGCATAGCTCACGTGTAAACAACATGCAGCAAATCGGCAAAATGAGAGTCAACATTTCTGATTGCAAACCGTGTTTATCTGAATAGTATAGCTTTTGAAATGGACTCCAAACTTTATGAAGGCACATCTCAGGCCTGTCCAACAAATTTTCCTGTGAATAAATGGCCCTCTCCTCTAATTTCAAAGCTCAAAGCCATGACCTAATGCTATAAGAGGAAGAGCTTTCAGAAAGGCAATAAGTCTGCCCCACACCCAAGAAGGAAGCGTAAAAAGGTGCCTTTCATAGATAAGGCGAAGCTTTGTCCTTAAAAATTCCCATTGTTCAATCATAAGGCTTACTTTAAACTTTTACATTTCTGTGATATGATATAGTCTTAAAACTGTGGTTGTGTATCTAAACCTGAATATCAATGTCATGAATGCATAAGAACTGGATTTTTTCACTAACACACGCCTAAACTGAGAAGGTATGCTTTATGATATGTGAGTGACACTACCGTTTAGTCAAGAAAGATGAAAAATATTCCGAGCTAGAACATGAATGGGCAAATCTTATCATGTCATTGCCCTGGTTATATTTCACTCGCTCTTTTTGAGGGGAGGTGGGTGAAAAATATGTAGAACACAACCACAAAGATGCTGGAATTAATTAGGCAACAGCCATCCAACATGCATGTACATTAATAAATATCCCAAAGCAGAACCATAGGTAATAGATGTTTTCCAGCTCACACAAAGCCTTTCAGCTATTTTGATCTAAATGATGTGCCAACAAAGAGCAGATGTATAAAAACCTAATAACCCTTGATCTTAAAATGAGCTTTTAGAGATGTTTAGATTCTATTTTGCATAAAGAAATAGATAAGTAAAACATATTTAATTAAAACATAGCTAGTATTTTTCCCTTGAAATAACTAAAGAGGATCATTATCTGTTTTTTTCTGTCATGCAAATGAATAATTTCTGTACTGTAATGTGTTATATTTACCAGTAAATCTGACTTTTACAGAAGCAAATCAGGATGAAAAAAAACAACAATTCAACCTGCTTGGGGTTTTTAATGTCAGATCAAAGCACAAAAATCTCAGCAGTCTCCACGCAAACAGCTGGGTCGTAATAGCTAGAAACCCCCTAGCTCTGAATTTTATGATTAATTATGTATCATTGCATATTTTCCAAAAAGCACTATCTTATGAACCAGAGCTGATCCTTCAGCTCTCATATTATTATGAATGTGATCCTTTGCAAGCTTGCTGACGGCCATGAATGAGTTGTGGCTGCAAAACAAGCATTGTTTACTCTCTGGAGGCTTTACACATTTCGTTCTTTATCTCTGCTGCATTCTTTTACCTTATTTCCATGCTCATTCCCTGCTCCTTAGCTCCCTTGTCGCTCTTCACACTTTTTATTTGAATTCTAAACAGCACACGGATCCTTTGTATTCTGGGTTCAGGCAGCATATACAGACAGATTGTGTTTAGTGCTCTCAGGACAGGGTATCTTATATTTCACAATGGGAGATTCTAGCTCTGGTTAGTGAAACACATCCTCCTGACCTGACCCTCACTCATATAATTAAAAGAAAACAAAACATGGAGGCATTGCCAAGTTAATAATTCAGCCTGGAATTACCTGTCAAAACCTGTTTTAACTTTCGACGGTGGAGTTTGAGTCTGAATCAACTTGTGAAAATGCTTACAGTTTGCATTTTTTCTAATTTAATGCAGCTTTAACTGAAAATCATAGCATTAAATGTTGCAAATTTATTAGATTATTGACCTAGAAAGTGGAGAAGCTTAAATATTTCATGTCATAACATTTCCATAATTTTCCATTTACTAGTTAATAAGCATTATGTAATGTGCAGTTGCAACTATAAGCTTTGCCTTTCTGATCTATTATAACATAAAATACAGAAAGAATAATCTATAGGTATACATTTGCTGAGTGATTTATATTATAAGCTCTAGACCTTTAAGTGTCTGAACTGTACGTTTTGTAGGATCAAGTGTTTATTGTTATTGTACACAGTTACATGATCCTTAAGAAAAAGTGCATAAAAATTCTCTCATGTCTTCATCTGTCAGTGAACACTTTTACATCTACTTATATTTTTCCTGAGTCACCTTCATTCCGTATCCATTACTCACCAGAGGCCCATGCTGTTGATGTTTCACAGTAACACAATGGATGGAGGAATTCCATCTGTGCGGTCCACAGGGCTCTAATGCTAAGAGCACCATTAGGGATCGACCTAATGAGAGGACAGACATAACAACAAACACTAAAAGAAACATAAGTTGACTAGATGGCAAAGATGTTGCTCAAAAATGAAACGAATAAATCACTTAAATAAGTGTCTCATGTTTCAAAGAAATGCGATTCTGTCATAGCTGAGATTTAGCAGAGTCACAGGGAGTTTGGATCTGTCATGAAATGTTAGTCTAGGCATATGATGGAAGTGACTGCGTGACCTTCTTCTTTCATCACTCACGGTTCCTTCAGCAATCAGAGTTCTGCACGAAACAAATGGCAAATAGGTCCAGAGGAGACCTGTCATCTAGTAAATCACACTACAAAGCCTAAAGCCACCAGTAACGGCCTTCACACTGTTCTTCACCCAAGAAACACAATGTGATCATAAACAAAACTGCTGGGGTGTCTGGGAGGACATTTTAGGTGGTGGGAAAGTTCACTTCAGCTGAACTGATTAAATTAATATGTAAGGGATAATGTACAGTCAGATGGTCTTTAAAGGAATAGTTCACCCAAAAATGAAAATTTGATGAAAATGTATTCACTCTCAGGCCATCCAAGATGTATATGAGCTTGTTTCTTCATCAGAAACAAATTTGGAGAAATTTTGCATTACATTGTAATCCAAAACAGTTCTAAACAAATATTTTGATGTAAGAGGATAACAGGGGATGGAATTTTTCACTGAAGGAAGCATTATTATGGACTATTTTTGTCAGAAGTGATTGTTTGAATTTAAAATGCCTTAATGATGGATTTGTTTCTTATAGGCACACAGATTTTTGCTTTGTAAAATGTTAACAGATGGACTAGAGTCATGTGGATTATTTGTGGATTATTGTGATGTTTGGACTCTCATTCTGACGGCACCCATTCACTGCTGAGGATCCATTGCTGAGCAAGTGACATTATGCTAAATTTCTCCAAATCTGTTTTGATTAAGAAACAAACTCAGCTGCATCTTGAATGACCTGAGGGTGAGTTTTGTTTTTGTTTAGTTTTTTCAGCAAATTTTTATTTTTGGGTGAACTGTTCCTTTAACACAAAATAAACCCTGACAGATGATCAGGACCCCAACACAAAACAGAGTGGCTGGTCTTGTCCTTAAGGGAATTAATTTGCAATAACGACCTGCTGACTGCTCATTATCCCCCTTGTAGCTGCTTAGAAAATAAATAAAATAACATCAAATAGGCTATTAAATTGAATTTAAATTATAATATAAAATAAGTTTTAAAATTAATAAAAATAAACTTCCTTAGTCATTGCAATGTTTGTGGTATATTTGTAATAAGTAATAGGTCTATCTATCTATCTATCTATCTATCTATCTATCTCTATCTATCTATCTATCTACCTTGATTTGTAATACAAGCAGTGCCATTGAAGCAAAAGTCTGTGTAGAAACTATTGTTGTACCAGGCACGAGTGAAACACAAATTTAAAGATTATGTCAATAACCATTGGAGGCAGCGTGCATTCATAATACAGCGCACGAGAGCGCTCAGCGCTGCCCTGCTGAGCTCCGCCTACCTCATGGCCCCGCCCTGTTGAATAAAAAGGGGCGTGCCAGGCTCCAGAGGACTATTTAAAAGCTGCTGGAGGTGATGATCCGTTGACTGAAGTGTGTGGAGACTTTTTGCGCGGTTTATACGTTCATCTGTTTGAACAACATGGACTTTTATGATGTAAGTTTATTTAGGACAAATGTAAATCGCTCTGTAGTCTGATGTTTGATTAAATACTTATTAATAAGGCTTAGTCTGTTGTTTATGTTTATCATGTCTTGCAACCTGCACTTTGGGTGTCACGTTTTACCATTTAGGTTTTGCATGTTGTTTTAAAACTTTTTAAAACTGTTTTAACTTTGTGATTTTTAGCATATAATTTATGTGAAATTAATCAATGTACTGTTATTTTCTGCAGCACATCATTTTAGACAACAGCTCAGACTCCGGATCTGGAGACTTTGACTTTGACGAACTCTGTGACCTAACAGTCGGCAATGACTTCCAGAAGATCTTTCTTCCTATTGTATATGGGATTATATTTGTCCTGGGAATCATTGGCAATGGACTTGTTGTGCTTGTGATGGGCTTCCAAAAGAAGTCAAAGAACATGACCGACAAATACAGGTTGCATCTCTCCATCGCTGACCTCCTGTTTGTCCTCACGTTACCCTTTTGGGCTGTGGATGCGGCTAGCGGATGGCTTTTTGGGGGATTTCTGTGCGTCACTGTCAATATGATCTACACTCTGAATCTGTACAGCAGCGTGCTGATTCTGGCCTTCATCAGCCTGGATAGGTACCTGGCGGTCGTCCGTGCCACAAACAGCCAGAACTTTAGGAGGTTGCTCGCAGAGAGGGTGATCTACCTTGGAGTTTGGCTTCCAGCGACCCTGCTCACCGTGCCTGATCTGGTGTTTGCCAAAGTCCACAATGCGGGCATGAATACGATCTGCGAGCTCACCTACCCACAGCAAGCGAACATAGTGTGGAAGGCCGTTTTCCGTTTCCAGCACATCATCGTTGGCTTTTTGCTGCCTGGTCTGATCATTCTGACCTGTTACTGTATCATCATCTCAAAACTGTCCAAGAGCTCCAAAGGTCAGGCCCTGAAGAGGAAGGCGCTGAAGACAACTGTCATCCTCATCCTCTGCTTCTTCATCTGCTGGTTGCCTTACTGTGCCGGCATCCTGGTGGACGCTCTGGTGATGTTGAATGTAATATCTCACAGCTGTTTCCTGGAGCAGGGTCTGGAGAAATGGATCTTCTTTACTGAGGCGCTTGCGTATTTCCACTGCTGTCTCAACCCCATCCTTTATGCTTTCCTGGGAGTCAAGTTCAGTAAATCTGCCCGTAACGCTCTGAGCATCAGCAGTAGATCAAGTCACAAGATGCTGACCAAGAAAAGAGGTCCTATATCATCGGTATCTACCGAGTCAGAGTCATCTAGTGTCCTGTCCAGTTAACGGGCACTTTGTACATAAAACTTTCCTACATGGATGACTAAGCTTTCATTTATTTTATTTTATTTTTAAAGGACTTTACAACACTTTTTGTATATTGTAAACTTGTTGTGTTGATAATTTTGTAACACTTTTTATTCAACTACTTAAATTAATCTTTTTTTTATGTTAGTACTTTTTTTCTTAGTATTTTTATTGCAGGACCTAAAGGCAGAGCCTTGACAAAGTCTGTATACTTGCAGAAGTTCTTATCAGGAAATGTTAGCAAACTGTTGCATAGTCTTTTGTCTGATTCCGAACGTGTAGTGTAAATTATTTGTACATAGTTCATTGTTTGCCATTGTGTGTGTGTGCACTTAGCTTTTCCAATTTCCACATAAGCTTTTTGATATTTATTGAAATGGTAGCTCACACTGTAAAAAAAATAATTAAAAAGGGGTTGTAATTTAATCATGTCACAATTGTTGCATTTTTACTTCTATTTCATAATAAAACCTTAAAATCACCTATTTTAATGAGGTCTGACAGTGTCATTACTACTCTCCAGTGGCCATACTCACACACACACACACACCCCTCCACCCCAATCTCTCAGTGGGGGGTGGGGCAGAGCTGAAGTGGGGTGAAGGTCTGTCAAGTTACCAAAACAAAAGCTCCACCTGATCTCCCGCTGAACAGAATGGCTGAGGAGAGGGTCTGTAATTTTAAGAACATCTGTGTTCTTCAGCGTTTTAAGCAACTGCTGATACAAGACACCCATTAACCTACAAAGGGACAGAATTGGCCGTCCTTCGGGATTTCTGTTGTTGTATCAAATAACAAGCAAAAGAAGTTAATGAGGTAGTTTGAAGATGTCAAGTTTGAAATTATAAAATCTACAGAATACAAATGTAATGTCTTATACTGGTATAAGAGAAAAACATTTTAGAAACATTTTAATGGGTCTTGACTAAACCTATCAAGAAAATGTCCCACAAATCAAAAGATAAAACCCAAAAGACAATTAAATACATTTTATCCTCTACTTTGTTGTAATGTCTTGAAGTTTTAGTTTTATTATATACTATATTTTCCCTAATGATTCTCATCAATGCAATACAGTAATTTCTTATTAGAAATAAAAAAAATTTAAAACTTAAATTTAAAACAGCATAAATTAAAATCAGTATAACAAAAATTGAAGATTCAGTAATTTACCTTTTAAATTATATATTATACAATTAGATTATATATATGATATATTATATAATTTTATATATATATATATATATATAATTAGAATTATTAATTAAAAAATGCAAAATTATTAAAAGCTGTACTTTTTATATGCAAAAAAAATTAGAAAGAAAGAAAAAGAAAGAGAAGAAAAATGACAAATATTCTTTATTTTATCTTTTGATTTGGTAAATTCTGTAAATTCTTACTTAAGAATTTATATAGGATTACTGTTGATATGAAGACGTGCACTTTTGACCTCTGTTTGCAATGCAAAGATTTTAGTCACCAAGTTGTGGTCTATTGCTTGATGAATAATCATCAGGTTACAGAAACAAGTTAGCAGCCCTGAAGAAACTATAAACCACAGTGGCAGAACATAGATATTCACAAGGTTTATATTGTAATGGCTTAACTCATCTTTAACACAGTGGGCTAAAATTACCATTTCTAAAGAGTCCAATGAGGTGTGAAGTACCCTGCATCAGACTTTAAGGTTTATGGTTATTTTTCAGTGTCTGCTCTCACAGTAAGAGGTCAGTAAAAATAGAGCATTCGGTGCTGCATTTTGTTCATTTGGAAATGTTTTGGAATGGTTCTGTCATTAGCATAAGAGCTGTTCTCAAAAGCCACGCCACACCATTAACACTCCAATGAGCTCAGCTGGACCATCTCTCCCATCTCTAAACTGCCATTTGAAAGGAGACAAACCAAAAGGAGCTTCTGGAAATCTGCTGGGAAAACACTATATTATCAAATCCTGGATCAAACCTTAGCCAAGCATGTCACAGGTCAGATGTTAAGTTCATCCAAACACTCAAATCACAGCCCTTTGATAATTCATGCCTTTAATAATGAATGTCTTAAAGAAGATAATTATGTGAGAACAAAAGAACACATAGAAAGTATGATAGCCTACTGTAGGCTATTTAGAAAGTAATCAAGGTAAAAAAAAAGAAAAAAAGAAGTTGCTTTGTTAAAGCCAGCTGCTTCTCAAATATGGCCAGAAATGTGATCGACCTGTTTATTTAGATGTGTAAATAAAGCTATAAAGGGAGCTTTATTGCACAGCAGGTTTATCAGACTGTATTTCATACTCTTGCCATTCGTTTATTATTACGTTTACATTGTTTTGGCTGAAGGATCAGGAAGGCAGTTTCCTGCATCAGGACCTCCTGTGACCAATAGCTCTTGAAAGACTTTATAGTTCTATAACACAACTGAATAGAACAAACAGAAATGGTGGTCTGTAACTCAAGAGTAAGAGTGTTTTGAGGTTATTTATTGCCTCGTTAATTATCCAGTGACCCTGGTTATATGAAGCAATCCTACTGAGAAACATACAAACATATAATATATACAGTATGTATGTAATATATAATATATATATTATATGTTTACATGTTCCACAGTAGGTCTATGTTTCTCGGAAATTAATATTCATCAGGTTACAGAAGCGTTTTAACAGCCCTGAAGTAGGCTAACTATAAACCATAGAGGCAGAACATATTCAAAGGGTTTATATGATTTAACTCATGTTTAACACATTATTTTTCTGGGATGGCAGTTGCACTGTTACTATATAATGTTTTATTTCACTTATTAATTTAACTGTTTTTTTTACACGAGCTGAGCAGCTCAAAGACGAATTGCACTGAGAGCGTGTGCGTATAAACCAGTAACTAGGAACCTTTTTCCGCGGAGACGTGTTCTACACGGACTCGCGAGGAGGCTGGGAATGTGCAACAGCAAAACACTTCCACACTTCTCCACATGTCCACCGTTCCCAGTGGCTGTCACTGCCCATTAACAAAACTGAAATCTTGAATATCTAGTGCTTTTGTTTCACTACATCCCTTCAGAGCCGAACTATGACTAAAGAAAATGTACAAGGGTGAGAATACAATCTCATTGTTTTCTGCGGATGTGTAATATTTGTGGTCAGGGCATTCATTAGCTTTCCTTGCTGCTAGCTGAATCTAATAGAGTTGCAGATGATTGCATCAGCAGTTTATAGATCTTTAACTATGACAGCAGAACAGTGTCTTTATATACTAACACTTGGAGGTAAACAAGTGATCAGATATGTTAAATAACTTTTGCAACAGTTTTAACTTTAATTTGTGAATTATCTTGACTTAACTTCGTTTGGAATCAAATCAATTTACTGACATAGAAGAGAAGAAATCTTATCGTGGAGACGTTTAAAATGCAATACAGTTAATAAACAGAGTTAGTGTGGAGGAGTTTTATGTTGTAAAGAAAACATTTGATATGGATAAGCAGTGTTTATGATGTACTAGTTGCAGATAGTTAGTTTTTAATAATCAAGGTAATGTCTGTTAATGGCGTAATGAAAGACACAGTTTGATGATAATGATTTGCTGCTCAAGAAACAATTATTGTCATTATGAATGTTGAAAACATTTCTGCTGCTTAATTTTTTTTTTTTTGTGGAACCCGTGATACATTTTTCAGGATTCTATGATAAATAGAAAGCTCAAAAGAAAAGCATTTCCAATAATTCATGTGGAAAATAATCTATAAAGTCATGAAAATGAATTGATCGATAGGTTTGGGAACCCTGGATCCGATAAAAGAGGCCATTGTAATAATAGTTCTTTTAATAGAAGAATTTCCAATAAGTAAACACCTTGACCTACTTTTACTTTTCAAAAACCAAATTGAAAGTAACATTTCAAACACAAAGTGAAAGTAAGAAAGATTCGTTTTGATCTCGGATATTAATTACATTGATTTTTTTCATGTTAGTTATTAGCAGACGAATTATTAAACGGATTATTTATATAATAATGCTATGCTGTGCCCAAAGCAGTGTTATGTGAACAATACTGTCTATGGTTTAATATATAAACCATAATTTGATGAGTCAACAGCTGCGTTCTGGGGTGGTGTGGAGGGCATCTGAATGCTCCACCCTTATTTTTATAGCCCTGCTCTGCTCCGGGCCTTGTGTTTCTATGTAAATACATAACCTCGAATCTGGCACAGGCCTTTAATTATCGGCAGTCTTCTCATTCTCTTCTATCTGCCCCAGTGCTTCCAATTTCCTGTGAGCAGAAATTGCAGCGATGCTTTGGGGACCGTCATCCGTGAATTCCCTTGAAAAGTGCTCCGTGCTGTGCATATCTTCACTGTGGCCCTTTATGTCCTCCACTGCCGTTACGTGCTAATGCATAATGCAGAGGGGGTAGTGGAGTTGTTTATTGCCCACTTTGGCACGGTTGAGGTCTCAGCGGTGCCCACGGCTGGACCGTTGTTGTCTTGGCAGTGGTAGTGCTGGGGAAGACTTTCACCGATCCATTGTGTTTAAACTTCTGTAGCTCTGTGTACAGGCACTTGATCCTGTGTTGCCTGAGGGCTGCCATATGGTTGCCTGCCCAGATTCTGCTGTTTTTGGAGGTTCTTTGTAGATCAGTGTTGGATAAAGGGCAAGACTTTTCAGTGGAGTCACAGTTTCTCTGTTTGTTCTGTTGTTTGGAGTAATTAGTGTAATAGTAAATTCTGTTGAATGTCTTGAGGTGGAGCATGGGTTTGTTCTGCTCATGTTGTTGACCACCTGTTACTCTTGTGGTTTCAGATTAAATGGTGCCATTCATATCCTTAGAGCGAGAGGACAGAATTTAAATTTAGCAAATGAGTGATTTGTAATGGGTGTATTTAAAGCGGTTGGTCAGTCCTGTTAACCGGAAACCATGTGTTATTTAATGAGTTTAAAATGGTAATGGAGATCATGGATGTCATTTCCTTTAACCTCTGCCCTGTGATCAGTTTACATTTTGTTGGGGTTTCTGTGTAATTGTGTTTGTTTTAAATAACTGTTGCACTGCTTGGTAATTCATCTCTGCCGTATTAACTAATGATGGATGGGTGGTAGTCTTGGCAAATGTTAGACTCACTTGGTTAAGTGTTAAGTGTTGGTTAGCCAAGTGTCTGAACTAATGAAGCAATGGACTCAGGTGTTAATGCCAAAAAGGAAAGTCATTTCAGAGTAATTGATTTCATTTTTATGATCGCTAAGACAAACAATATCTAAATGAGAGATTTTTTTCTAAGTAAGCTTGTTTCCTGTCATATCATTATATAGAGGAAATAAGCTAGTGTCTATGTTTTTTTTTTAATTGCCAGTTCTTATGTAGAGCAGAATGGCCAATGTCATGTAATTTAATAATAGGCTAGTAAATTAAATTCCTGAAAAAAAAATGTTTCTGAGTATTACATATAGGGTTGGGTACCGTTCACATTTTAACCGGTACGGTACTGGTATCGGTACCTGAAT